ATATATATATATATATATTTAGTGTTAAGTTGTCCGTCCGAGCGTATTGTAAGTAGAGAGGGGGGATCTGCGAGGGTATAAAAGCCGGCTTCGGGTTCACGGAGGCAGTCACCCTCGAGTGGCGATTCTGGCAGTTGCCGACTCGTCTTTCTTCCGCCTTCCTCGCCACCAGGCCCACGAGCACGAGAGGGCCGGACATTCCCGGCCTCGGTCCGGCCGACACCGACGGCTCGTCTCGGCCGTGGCTTCCTGGTTCCCGACCGATCCGGCTAACAGTGATAGGGCCTGCCACGGTCCGACAGTTCCCGGCTGGCCGAGATCAACTAGGTCCCCGGACTTCGTACCTGCCGTGGTGTTGCCGTTGCCCGCCGCAGTCCGGCCTGTATCGACCGTCGAGTCCGTACCCCAAACCGCCGCGAGCCCGCGGACCTCCCCCGCGATCATGATTTCGAAAACCGTAATGTAACGTCGCGTAAACCCGTCGATCGTAATCAATATTTCTGCGCCGCGACATCGAGAGCATAATGTAAATTGAGTGATCGGAAAATATATCGTTATTTGTGTTCAACCATACACTGCGAGTTAAATTATTTAAACCCTTTCCGTGTCTCCGGACCTGCTCCCGTCTCTGGAGCCGACTGAGGCGTATCTGCGCATTTTCGCCGCACGGGAAGACAGGTCGTTTTAACCTTAACACAATAGTCGTCATCTATTTTAGCAACTTGAGGTTTATTAACTTTGTCAATCAAATTTGCTACGTGACGATTTACAGTTAAGCCAAAATCAGTTTTAATTTCAGGTAAAAAAAAGCAGAATATTCAGAAGAATCTATAATCCCCGTAGATTTCCCCGCGATTTCATTAAAGAGCTTTACTGTATTCACTGAGTCGGGACTAGATGGAGTATAAATTATCTTCAAATTATTGTGTCTTAAAAAATCTCGACCCAAAACTATCTGCATAACACTTGAATCATTATTAAGTATTATACATTAAATATAACATTTGCTTCAAAGTTTGGTAATAGTGCTAAAATAATCTTCGTGAAAACAAAACCGTCAGAAGTAATAGTAGAATTATTTAAAGCTTTAAATTTCTTTACAGAGAAATCATCGGAACGTAAATTATCTTTAAATGCAAACTGATAAACTGACAGATGCAGAAAAGAAATAGGACTACCAGTGTCCAATAAAGCAGATAAATCACATTTCAACCCATTTATAGCATTGAGTTTAACGATTTCATCACTTATCTTCATTTTTAGACGAATTTTCTTCAACGAATCCAACCAGGGATGAATCAACTTTAGCTCCTTCGATTGTAGCTAATGGATCAGAGGCCGTCTGAGTTGTTGAACTGGAGGTAACAGTATTGCAAGAAGACGATTCTTTCCTTTTCAGCTTATAGCAATCTTGTTTAAGATGCCCTTTGGCCTTGCAATGAAAACAGAATAATTCTTCCGAACTTGATAATTGAGCATCTTTGGTGTCTTTTGATGAAGAACCAGAGGTTGAGGTATTCTTCGCAGTTGAAGATGAATAATCTTTTGGCTTAACCTTTTTAACCGGTGGAGGCGATTTTTTTTGTTGAACGCTACACGCACTTGTAATTTTGTACATCTTGCTCAAAAACTCATCAATGATGTCCACTTCTAAGGATGCTGCTGTACTTCGAAGCGACATGTTAATTATATCATTGGATAAGAGTTGGATACAATCTTTTTCTGATATTTTAAGATTGTACATCAATTTAAGCTTGTCGGTTGCGTATTCCTGGAACGTTTATTTAGGAAAATTCCACTTACGAGCATTCACTTTATGCATCAGCACACTAAACGGAATGTGTCGTTTAAAATGTTTAGTTATAGCTTCTCTAAATGATATTCACGAATCGTTGACAAGATCGGTTGACATGTCAAACCAGTCTCTTGCTACCTTGCTGAGTTTACTGATTGCAGCAAGTAGCGTAATTTGGTCGCTTACGTCATGAATACATACGACTTTTTCAACTTTACTTAATCACAGGTCGATATCTTCATCCTCGGATTCGGTGTACGTCGGGATCTGAGGCGAGTAATGTAACTGCCTGTGCAGGCGGGACAGTGGATACAACAGAAGTTCTCTGTCGCGATAAAGTAGAGTCCAAACCATGAGAAGTAGTATTAGGTGGAGATGCAGGTGCAGGCAATCCTTTGTTCACAGTAACGATAAATTGATCGATTAAACGACGAACTTACCTTAAGTGAAGTTCTATCGCAATTGTATGAAGCGCCTCCTCCGAAAGGTCGTAAGATCACCATATGTAGTACCTGCCCTATGTACCGTGGCGCCACAAGGTTTATAGTAAGATTTTCCGGATATCTACCTCTCCGCGGCCCGCGGCATCCGGTCCTCCATCTTCATTACTTTAAAGAGTTGCCGTATACTATACAATTGGGACTATGCGAATCTAGCAATGGGGAATTAATAGGGTGGGACCGATCTTTCGGAGGAAGCGCTTCATACAATTGCAATAGAACTTCACTTAAGGTAAGTTCGTTTAATTGATCAATTGTACTGCGCGCCTCCTTCTCAGATCGTAAGATCACCATGTGTAGATGTTCAAAGGTGTGCGGCAAATGAGGGTATTGGACTGTATAATATTGATATCAATGTCTCTTATTTAGCTTTTGCTGGTGATTTTAAATCTTTACATGATTTTTTCAGAGCTTAAGTGTTTCCGTTAAGTCGCTTCCGAATAGCCATCCATCTGGTTTGTTTGCAGTCAGTGTCTCTTTCAAGGTTGGGTTTAGGTTAGACATAAGAATGAGGCGTCTTCATCACGTTGTAGGTCTATTAGAATGCGGGAAATATCATTTAAGATTCTGATCATCTTTAGTCGATCAACTGTCTCATTAGTAAATAACCTGGATAGAATTGGACCCAGTGCTGCTAGACATACCGACACTTTTTCTTGTTTCTCTCCAATGCGCCTATCTCTAGGTTCCGTCAGAGAGGCTTTTATCTTTTTATTAAGGATGGTAGGCTTGAATTGAGTACAATTATTAGGCGTGAAATATTTTTATATAGTTTTTTACGATCTTCCGTAGGTAGACCTTCTTTAAGCACATCCCATCGTGTTACTATGTCAGTGTGGATAGATAGTCTATGCTTTTTGTCCCGCTCTATACGCTTACCAATTGCTTCGAGTACCTCCGTCGCTAAAGCGGGATCTGCTGTAGTATTCGTTGTTGTAGATAAGTCCATCTCTTCCTCTTTCTTATTTAAGGAAATTAAAGTGTCGGAAATTTCTGGAGATGGAACTCCCAGTGAATTTTCCGTAGGGAGGAGTGTATTTTTCTCTTTATCTTCTCTGCCGAAAATGTTCGATTAAAACCGATTATAAAAAAGTTATCCGAATCGATCGGGATTTCTGCACCGAAAATACGGTATCAAAAAAGATTAAAATCATTCAAACCGGATATAAATCACTTTAGACGGATTAATATCAGGTGATAGGAATCTATGTCAATCCAAACTTCGACGATTACTCGTACAAAAAAAGCAATTGGTCGATCCAAAATTTACTG